GCGAGTGCGGTACACAACTATCACCAGATGCCGGGCTTTCATCCTGCGGTCAGTGATCGACGCCAATGGGGTGTAGATTGATTCCCGCTTTGGCGCAAGTATCCACGTATTTTCTAGCCTTTCCGGAGACATGATTCGCTCACGTGGAGATTTCCCGGGCGAGGGGTGCCATGCATGAATTCCATCATGTCTTGTTCAGATCTTACTACTGCGGATCCGAGGAACGACATAAACCCTTCCTTTCGAATATTGCAAAATTGATTGAGAGACGAAACTTCCCGTAACTGTACCCCCCCTAAAAGCTCTGACGGCATTGTATTTCCCCGACCCGATCGCCCTGTTCGGTGTTCCCTTAACTGCGGTGGCATTGGGCCTTGGTCGCCGTGGCCACTGCATCGATCTTCAACAACGCAACAGATGTCTCACTTGAAGGTACGGACCCAAAGTGAGCGTTCCACCGTTTCGCAACAGTTTAGCCTCTGTACTGCACCAAGGTTCGTCGCAACGTTTCGCAGCGCGCACTAGACTATATGTAGGTGAAAGAGGCCTGAAGCGTTTCATCCGATAGACGCACTTGCACGTGAAGTGTGCCGAGATTCATACTATCCGACCACTTGTAGGCATACCCCAAGCTGACTTCCTTGTTGCTGTCTCCTCTTCTTGTGGACCGGAGGAATGCAGGGACCCCATTCTCAGCGGATCCGTGTACAGCTTCTGGTGATCCGGTGAGTGACCTCGCCAGACACTCCAGACTTTCGGCACCGAGCGAGAGCCTTCACGATGAACAACAGCATCTCCATCAAGATCGTATCCCATAGGCTCACTTAGCGGTACCTAAATGCGTAAGCACGTCGTGTACGTTAACTGCTGTACATCTGTATGATGTTGTCTTCGGGGCCTCTAGCCTTTCTGCTGTGGGTGAGTTAGGGATGCCCCCACCTTCGGTCTTGATTCCATCCGTTGGGTTGCGGTGTGAGATTGAGCTGGATGGTGTGAAGGTGTGGTGGGTGAACAATATGATGAAAAATAGGTTTCCTTTCTTCTTGGCTCGTGGCATCCACCCTTCGGGTGCAAACTCGGTACACTTCGACACCTTCGCACGTGACAACAGGAACACATGCATGTGCTTATTTGTGGCAGCATTTCTCTCCCCCTACCCTGTATGTGCGTGAATTTCCACTGCCAATAGCCAAACATTGCTCACCTTTGCTTCCGATCATCCCACTGTTGTTTGCACTCACCACGACCACTCAGTGCCTCCCCAAGACGGTGGATGTCGACGCTGGGTGCGCTCAAGCAGGCTTGGCAGGATTCTGCCAACAATCCCCTCTTGGTACCTTGTTCTGCAAGCAACCATTTGATTTTAAAACCAACCTCAACGTAAGCTTTGAGATTCTTGACGATAAACGATGGGTGGATAGTACGAGGGGCTCAGCCAGAAGACGGATGATTCGGTTGAGTAGGAAATATCCCACATTGGAGTTGTTGAACATTGGTGTTGTGCGAGACAATATTTCTGTACTGTGCATAATAGTTTGAAAATGCTGCTTGCCTGCGAATGCGTATTTCGGTTTTGAACGCCCCGGTGCGAAATGATGCCAGCCGCGGTGACGTTCAGGCGTCGAATAAACTTCCCGCGGATGCCTAGCGGCCCTAGAGTATCGCGGAAATACACGAAAGAGTCCGCTGTGTGGCGCTGAGAGATACACCTGAGAAAAGATTCGCCGCCTACAGAGTACTCAAGCACCTGGAGCATGGCGACCCACAGGCGGATCATAGGCAGCTCATGATGATATATCCAAACCCCATGGACGAGTCATCGCTACCCTTGACGACATATGCGACTCATGTTAGCCGTTCGGGTAGTACAGTAGCGCCGCACTTTCGAACCCCTAGTTTTGGCCGGGACTGGAGTTCTGGCTTCCTAGGGTTAGTCTATTCTACAAGAGGCCGCAGTATAGTTTTTTTTTTGTAGGGGTTCTCAACAGGGAAAAAAGTGGTGCTCAAGTTATCTTATTTCGAGATAAGATACAGTAGTGTTGAGCAATGATTGGCCTGGGCGGGCCGTGATCGCCCGACAGGCGGCCCACGACAGCCTATTCGACGTCCCGTGGGCGGTACCAACTATGTACGTGCGCCAGAGATGATGTTCTCGACCGATTGGCCTTCGTACCGAGTCTCGTCGTGACACTGTCTCGCCCGCTCGTGTCGATCGGATCCCTACAGACTTGCTTGGATGCCTGCGTATGTCTTGAGGGAATGTGCGTGGGCCCATCCGGATCCTGCGGTGAGTCATATGAGCGTAAATAAATACTGTTTCAGCGACTCGCGCTTCCATTTCGTGTGTCGCTACGGCAACTTCCTGCCCGGGCTAGCAATCGCCCGGTAGCAAGTGCATAAGTCAGAAATGAGTTAACGCTCGGATGGTGACTCGCCTCAGAATGAAGCGTCTGGGGTCCAACCAAAGATTGCGGGAGCAACCTCTGAACAACTTTGCCAAGCACTTGGGCGGTTTTCGAAGTTGGTCGCACAAGAAAGCAGTCACCCCACTTGAACCGTTTGTTATCTATCCCTTTCAATATGTACTCCCCAAACCCAAAAACAGTTAATTAAATCAAACACCCCCATATGTTATCAACATAATAACTGATTTTAGTTAGTTATGGTGTGACAGCAAGAACAGTTGTGGATGCAACACAACGGTTTTTTTCCCGCCGGTAAAAAGTGGTGTGTAATATCTCCTCGATTGTCGAGGAGACAATTGGGAGGAGTTTGGGACAAAACCACTTGCTGGAGTGCCGTAGACGGGGCGAACCTCGAAGTATTCGAAGGTGTACAGTATTCACTCCTCTACAGCAGCGTGTACTGTAGAGAGCGGCACCTCGAACCCCAAGCTCTAAAGCTGTCCGGTGACTCGTCTCGTTGGTGGGCGAGGTGCTTCTTCCCTTTCCACCCACGCACACATCGGTTCGACGCCGCTTGGCCAGGGAATGTGCGGTGTCATCCCGCGATTCTCCATGCCATGCCCCCCTCCCTTCTCTTGTCTAGCATGCACAGCAATGATGCTTCCCGCGTACCACGGCACCCTTCTTGTCGAGGGTGGAGACAACCATGTCGTTCTTCGTCAGCTCATACTTACCCTCGACAGGGGGGAGAAGTTGTCGCCAAGAGTCGATCTAGTTCCATGGGGATCAAGCGCGACGAATGAAGTTTGACTGTTCTATCGGAAACATGGTGAAGTGAAAAACTGCGCATGATTGATGGGGTAAAAAGCATACGACCCCAGGGCGGGTCTAGATTGTAATCCCTCCTCATTTTTCCTAATCGGTGACGGGTTCCCAACTGGTATTGCTCGAAGATCAATCCATGGTGTTGGAATGGGGCTCGAAGCCTGTGAGCCTTAGGTTCTACACCAACAGGAGTTTCAGCCACATTCCGACACGTTTCAAGTCCCATTCCAACACAAGACTCTTGTTAATGTGCGAGCGTACAGCATCGCCAACCAAAGTTCCCTGTTAGATATACTCGCAGCAGTATCTGGTCGTGAGGATCCCAGGGGGATACGTGTTGGGAATTTCGTGTGTTGCAGGGTACCATCGGTGCGGTCACGGGGACCCTTTTGGCGTGGTTGGTGCGATGAAGCTTGCGTGCGTGCTGCGCTCACTTCTTCCTCTCTCTCTCCACCACCACCACCGTCTCTCTCCAATCAAGTTTCCTTCTCCCACTCTCTCTCCAACTCTCTCTCAATCTCTCTCTCTCGGCCTAACACGGCCGACTACCCAGTGCCCCAAGTAACGTCCAGAACGTGCTTGCTGCACCCTGCGTAGTTTACCTTTCATTCCCAATAACCCCTCCTCGTCGAGGTCGGACCCATGGCGTGTTTGTAGGAACTGCATGTGAGCAGCTCTTGATGTGTGATGAGCACCAAGAAACATGAGAATGTTGTTCCAGTGTGTATCCTACCTGCTTTTGCTTATTGTTTATTTCAGACTCCTAGAGATGTGCAGGTACATGAACATCTCGCAAGTACGACAACAACAGAGAGTTCCTGTGATAAAGAGTACTTGAGATGAATTCAGATCCTACACCGAGATAGAGCTGGCCAACACCCACACACACAAGTGTACCCTGTAGCGTGTGTAGACAACACTGTTGCCCGAACAGCCTTGTCAAGCCCTTCTGCTTACAAGGTGCATTCACCATGTAGAAATACACGCAGGACTGTTGCTACATGTACATGTCCTTGGATGAACGGAATAGTTTCTGTAGGTCTTATGACGATAGTTTCCACGAGACAGCGCGTGGGAAAATGACAACCATATACTCCCATGTTCCTTACCTTGATACATTTTTGCAGAGAACACACCTGCCTGCGATTCGGACATCGATATCTGCGGTGACCCTCACATGAAGGGCCTGCGCGGCCAGAAGATCGACTGGTCCGGCGTCGACGGTGGATGGTACTCTTTCATTAAGGACGACGACGAAGATCTTCACATCAACGTGCGGCTCACAGCCCCTCTGCGCGAAGAGTTTCCTAATCGCCAGCTGGTCACCGGCCTCTCGGTCATTTCACGGGGACACTCCTTGGTTCTCAAGGTGCGACCTTCATCGCGGTAGACGGCGCTGTGAGTGGAGGGGCAACGGCGTGTCAACACGCTTCTTTTGAGCACGCAATGTCCCCTTCGGGACTATGGGTGCAGACGTGTTTTGCGCACGACTCTCTACTTGCCTGCGCACGTCTTGCCATGGTCTTCCGTCACCTGATCTTCACTCGAAACTAAATGCACATGTACTGCCTGAGCAATGATTGTCATATTTCGGTTTTCCTCATCGCCTTTCCTTTCGCTCATTCGTGTATGGTAGGAGGCAAGGGAATGATTGTCCACGAACTCACGTCAAAGTCGATACAACCGAGAAAATATGAATCAAAGGGCGAGCACACCTACCGTCGTCCGACAAAACGATCGTTTCAGGTGAAGAATCCCTATGAGACTGACATGAGTGGTGACTGCCCCAACGGAATGCCGACGCCGTGCCTGGCCAACGGTGGCCTGAGCGTCACCGTGGATGGTGAGGAGACCGCGGACGATTCTCCTCTGCTTCACCCGATCAGGTGGGTACTGTCAGCGTCACCGGGTTAGCGCTTTGTAGATGGTGCAGATTCCTCTAGAGCCGGCTCTGCTGCCGGACAGCACTGACCGACGGTTGGCTCTCAGCTGCGACCGGCCGACAGAAACACACAGGCATCTACTGTGCCGCTTGCATCAGCCAGACTACTTCTCCCATTGCACCTCGGAAGCTACCGGTCACAAGCGCACCAACCCACTTGCACCCAATGTTCTGTGTTTGATCTAGGGGTGAGATCCTTCCTGGCAGTAGCATCGAACTGTCTGCCGCCAACCTCCCGGTAGAGTGCTGGGAGTTCGGCGGTGACAAGATCTGGGCCCACCACTACGAAGACATGACGGCGCAAGGAAGGCGCACGACAAGCGGAGAGAGCTTCGAGGATTGGGTGTTGAGCTTCCAGCACATGACAGCCCCGGACTGGTGAGTTGGACAGTGGTAAAGTCCTCGAAAAAGAGAAGATCGTGGTGCTTTCGTCTATTGTATGAAGAGAATACCATGCCCTTCGACACTTATGCACCAGGTGCATGATATTCGCGCGTGGTGTTCCTGTTTGCGCGTTCGCAGTGGCGGTGGTATCATGCATTCCCGCGACGTGAACTCGCTCTGCAAACCTACGAATGACTCGTGTGTAGACTGTTGCTGCCGGCACCATGTGGTACTAAATCTTGGTGTACACACCGAGTATATGAAGCACCAAGCCTGTCCGTGAACCCGACGACTTATCGCCTTCCCCTGTTGCCGCCGAAACGTCATCACGCGGGTTTTCACCCCCGTTGAACCCGCGAGTAAATGTGTGTGTGAGGCTTGCAATCTAGCCTTATTTCGCTCACGCCGCTGATCGTTTCCCTCGCATGTCATGCCGTGTGGTCCTACGCCCCGTTTCATGACCATACCAGGTGCACCAAGCACATCGCCGAGAAGGGCCTGTCGGATGTGCAATCCCCCCACGCTATATACCAGATCATCACTCCGTCGGTCGTCGTGCGGCTCAACGTCGGTATCGGGTACCAGACCGGTGGAGAGCTCGACTGGGACGGCCGCGTCCTCCCCGACCTCGATATGTGGCAGATGGACATCGGCCTTGTCGGCCTGTCCCTCGAGAACGAAGGTTTGACCGGAATTCTGGGGGAGACGGCTCGACCCGTTCATGACAAGCATGGGCGCGCCGTGATGAAGGGGGACGACGCATTCCGTGGGACTGCTGAGGACTACCGCGTGTCCGGTGAGCTGGGTACGGACTTCGCTCTCCTGCACTACACGTGACGCGGTGCGGGGACACTAAGCAAGACACCACGCTGCTTGCGTTTGGCGCCGGCGTTTAGGAAAAATATCGACTTCTGGTTACCGGGAACGGTCCGTGGGCCATGCGAGCAAGGCCCGCGGTTTTCCTCTGGTGCTTTTTGGTTCCTCGTGATGAACGACACCAGGGTTTTTTAATTCCGATAACAACAATGAGGACGTTTTTATGGTTTGAAGGTGTTTTGGTATGGTGTGTGCAATATCGCTGTTGAGATATTCTTTGCGCCCTACCGGCCTAGGTTATGCGTCACCGAATTTTCTGATTCCATTTCTCGGGGAAATGTTTCAGCTGGGGTATTGATATTGATATTGATAGTGCTGGCTTGTGCCGAAAGCAGCGAGAGGAGGGTAGACACACATGTGCCTGTTTCGGGAGAGGTGGCAGCAAGGCTGTTTGCATAACTGCTCATATCGTTTCTTTGACAACAGCGGCGGCACCGATCGATTCGCATGTGCACGCTGTTTAGGATTTGACCCTTGAACCCTATATTGGAGCAAGGTCTTTGACACGAGTCATGGTTGAAGCCTTGATGCTTTCCGAACGCTTGTTTTGATCGGTCAACAAGTTGAAATTTCGTTTTGCTCGAGAATGTTGTGTCAACTCTTACAAGGCTGTTTCTTCACCATTGTTCATCACGGTTCCGACGCTTTTCTGATGTAGCGCAGATTACTTGCTGGGGTACTCTTCTGAGGATGATTCTTTAGTGTTGGCGGTCCGAGGTTATTTCCAGGGGCGAATACAGTGGGTTCGTCGATAATTGGTGGAGATTTTTGTGTCAAATGCGTAGTCATTTTTTTCAAGGGCATCCTTCTTGGGTGGATATTTGTGTTTTCGTATTGGTTGGATGATTCTTCACGAAGGACTACAAGATCGTAATTAACATGTATATTGTATCAAGCAGGGGCAACCTCCCACACTAGCAGTTTTGTTAAACCGCCCGTGGGACGCCCAATGGGCATGCCCATGGGCGGCCCATGATGTGCGCACCGTGGGCACTTCAACCTCGAACTCGACCACCGGCATATCAACCTAGAACTTAGCCAACTTAGCCACCAGCGCCAACCTAGCACGTATCGTGTGGGCTCCGGTTTAGGGTTAGGGTTTTAGCATTAGGGTTTTTAACCCGTTCCGAAGCAGATAGTCTGTTGTTTAGGAGTACACTGGTTCGGTTGAGAAAGGCTCTCACCGGCCGCCCATGGGCAATCTTTTTCCCATGGGTCGCCCACGGGTCGTTTGGGAAAACTAAAAAAAGTGTTGGAGACCCAGCAGGGGGAGCTGTTTGGGGTACTTTGATACAAGATCCGATCTGGAGATATGCTGTTGGGGGTCCACGTGCGGGGCCCCTCGAGAGACAGTCGACACGCATGTGTGCTAACGTCTTTCTCAATTATGGCGGCAGTCCCCCCATTTTTCGTGGTGAGACGGGAACTACATGTGTTTCAGTGTACAGTACGTAGAGTACTACGCTTCTCCAGAATTTTTTTTTTCGTACCACTATCCAGGGTCACACAGGAGCGTGTAAACACCGGGCATTTTTTTTTTTCGTGCCCCACCTTCGCCTGCGGTGCGTGCTGAATTTTTCCCGCCGTGGTGGGCGGTCCCGGTACTGGCGGCAATATACGCCGCATTTGGGTGGCACCGGGAACCGCGAAGGCGGTATAGCCGAACAACGAAATACCGCCTTCTGTTCGAATATTTGGCACTACCGTAGCTTCAGCATTAGGTAGTCAGTTTGACTAGTTCAAATACTGTCAATGTCGCTATGCCATGTAGTAAAAACAATTCCATATGGTCTGTCATACTCGGAATATGGAGACATGGTCGATGTTCTGTGTTTCATATCCAGAAATATTCTGCATATATATATAGCCTAGATTTCCAGAAATATCTCATAGTGCAAGTAGCTCAGAAATGCGTGCTCGGAAGTATATATGCATCGGGTAGTTGTCGCAAGTGCCTCTGACTTGCGTGTATGAAAGGATATATACCGCCGCATGTAACTCAGACTTGCGTGCTTGAATGAATGAATATTCGTATGCGCTCAGCAGTCGAATTTGGAATAGTTCAATTGTTGAAGCTGTATTCTGCGGTTTGTCGTACGTCAGTTCTCAAACTTTGGCTTCAGTCTCATCTTTCAATATCCGTGGAACTTTTATTCGCATAGCCCACCCGTTGCCCGACCCTATCTCAAATGCCCATCTCGAGCTACAGTGTAAATCTCGTGGCGCCTCGAGTATGGTTCGGTGTGGAATCGCAAACCATGAGCCGTCCTCGAGTTTGAGCAGCTTCCGCCTCCTCTGGCCGGCAAGAGTCGACCTTGACTGTTCCTTGCCCTGTTTCGCCATGGGAACGGCCGGGTGAACAGCGAAAGAGGGTCCTGCGTGTTGCGCGCCACAATCTTTTTTTATTTATTTTTTGCGTTTGTTCTTGAGTGACCAAGGCCGCACAAAAAAAAAAATCCCGACACCTGTAACCCTACCCCCCCCCCGCCGGGAGGGGTGTGAAAAAACTTTTGTTTTTTGGAATATGTTCGTACAGGCTTTCTTTTGGCTTTCTCCTTCTCCATTGCGTGTGCTTGCGTGTGGTGGTGTTTACGGCACGACGTGCAAGCAGGCCCTTGGTTACTAGGAAGGTGTAGATTGCTACTTCATGTACTGAAATAAGCTGTGATGGGCTGGGGACACTTCTTATTTGGTTTTCGAGTCTTGAAGTACAGCAGTAGTGCTTGGGGACAACCCCTCAGATACAAGTAACTTAGAACTTCTCTGCGACAAGTCCACGACATTTGACCTCGGTCGAATGTGGCGAAATGGCACAACCGAATGACACATACCCAGAGGGAAGAGAGTGCTGAACTCTTCTCGCATTAAAAATCGTAGGCAAAGTACCGCAGGAGGGGAGGGTAGAGAGGGACTCTTCTGTGTGACCACGGGTCGGAATGAACGGCACTAGTGCTGTGAGCGCTGATTTGAAGTGAAGAACAAAAAAAAAAAAAAAAAAATACCCATGCGTCGAAACATATTCATTCCAAACTTACTCAAGCCGGCAACATACCGAAGAGGGGCTGTCGATGAGCCTACGGCGGTGGAATCACCTTCGCCACGTGCAACATCACCCATCCACAAATAATAGCAATTTGTCTTGCATGGTACTTATTATTCCCCGAAGACCATGGGATTCTCCATCCAGCAAGTCGCCTCGCCTTCCACCGCGATGCCCGGCGTGAGCCACATTGTCCCCTCCACGACGGCGCTAGCGCTTCTGCTTCTCTCGGGTCAAGACCAACAACAACACGCACCAATAACAAAACCTGCCATATAGTAGCAAAACACACCACGCCCGCAGCTTCGTGGGGTGCTTCTTCTAAAGCCCGGCCAAATACCAAATCCTAAAGCGACGTCGACAACGTTACGCGGAATCTCCAGCAAGCCATCACCAAAACCTCCAAACGGATTGCACTCGTTCTCAAAGGAAACAGCTCCGACGGAAAACACAGGGACAGATAACAATCGGAGAGACAACGTGCCTTCCGCGATCCTTCGAAAAAGACGTCCTGGACAATGAAACCAAACAGGCAGATACCAAACGTTGCACAAAAACGACGAATTCGTGCGTTTCGGTGCTTATTTTTCCCATAACACCTGCAACGCCCTTAGCTAGATCTCCGAGCTGTTGATGATCTTGAGACTACTCTGGAGCTTGGACGTGTAGCGGTTCTGACGCGGAACGAATGCGTGGTACGGTTAATCGGCAAGATTCCCACGGAATGGGAAGGAACCGAATGGTCAGACATGTATCGTAAAACACCATCCACCACGTCTCTGCACGGTGTTGGTTTTGGGTGCCAATCGACCTGATGCAGTTTCTCCAATATTTGGCCCTCTTGCTTGTAAATGTGCGTTCGTCTCATGCTTTCTGCTACAACAGGAAGCGCCCGCTCTTAAGACCCTCCATAAATAGTTTCGGTCGAGCCTGGGGTCCTAAGAGTTAGGTCACGAACGGCCGCTAAGCAGGTTTCAGTATAGCCGAGCTCACATAAAGGTGCTCAAGTTCTTAGACGTGAGGTTTTCGAAGCTCAGTTTCATAACTGGCAAGTTCCTAAGTTCGGGAGCTAGCTGTAGTCTACAAGACTTTGGTTAAAGTTTTCTTGACGCATCCGCCGACGGCGAGGATGGTCATAAAGGAGCCGAAAATAGTGTGTATACCATGGTGTCTCCCACTTTTCTTCTGCGGTACGTGCATTAGGGTTCATCGTGAGAAGGGTTCAGCCGTCCCGTTCCCCTGCCGACGGTGACAGTCTGCTACTGGAAAACTGACGAACATTATTGTTTCCCACTGCAAGTTGCACGAGGAAACCCCTCCATAGACAGAATCCAACCCACAACCCGACACTGGTAGGTTTGCGAGGTTTATCAATGACCGGCACATACGCACTGCCGGCGAAAATTTTGATATTCAGTATCGATTGATATCACACAGAAGTACCACTAACTACATTTGACGACGTACGTCCAAATTTACTACCTTGTACCATGTTACGTTCTGTCAACATTATCGTGGCATCAGGTACTCTCTGTTGCGACTTAGGGATAGTTGGGCTGGTACGATATTGGAATGAACGGCGCTGAGCAAGCATAGAAACGGGCTTGAGCGATGACAACAACAACAACAATAACAACAACAACGACAACGACAACAACGAGAATAAACGTTTCCAATAAAAGCAGGCCCTCACCAATGCATCGACGATCTCCCCGTCATCCCTTTCGCGCGTTTGTCGTTCAAGGGAGACGGCGCTCTTCAGGTCGGCAAGCTCCTCGCGAACAAAAGACTGGAACTTTTCGTCCCCCTTCATGCGCGACCGCACGTTCTCGTCTAGGATGCGTCGCAAGTCGGCGTATGTATTCTCTCTGGAGGTCTGTCAGGCGGGGGGGGGGGGGGGGGGGGGGG